TCCGGGTGTGGTAGCGCACACCTGTAGTTCCAGCTACTCGAAAGGCTGAGGCGGAAGGATCGCCAGAGCCCAGCAGGTCGAGGCTGCAGTGGCCGGGAGTGGCCACTGCACTCAATTCTGGGCAACAGAGTGAGACTCCAACTCAAAAAAAAAAAAAAAAGAGATAAAATTATAAACAGAGTAGTCACCCCTGTATGTACAGGCTTGGTTTAGTGGCACATTAAAGTGATTTATTTTGATTGTCATCTTCTCCAGGCTCTAAAGATGAGGTCTTGGTTAACTTGATTTTGGTGCCAGAGACCAACATTGACATTAACTATTTTTTGATGAGCTTGCGGGCACATTTATTTGATTACAGGGAGGTGATAATTACAGGTCTGGATCAGTAGTTGTGGGTGAATTGTACTTATTGGCTCAACTTTTATTCATTTATATTCAGTTATTGAAGCTAAAAGTCAAAAGCAGGGAATGATGACAGCATTCGCATCACTGCTATATTTAAAATTATTATTTAAATTCACTTTATTGCTGTTGCTATAGTGCATAATTAACTCATGCCAATCTGAGCTGATGTGCAATAAAGTGAATTTAAATAATAGTTAATTATGCAGTATAGCAACAGAAAGAACTATAATCATATATGGTTTGTCTGTACACTGGGTGAGTTTTTAAGCATTTCTTCTTATTCTGACTCTCAATTGCCATCTTTATCAGAAAGAGAAAAAACAATGTAAGAAAACTCTGTGATTATTAAACAAGAGATAATTCATGTGCCTTAATGTGTCCGGCACACATTAGCATGTTCAAAACTTTTTGAAAAATCTCCTCCAGTTTTTAAATAGGCATACTTATTCTTGTTCATTGAGTTAGATGGATGAAAGAATTAGGCTATTAGCATTATTTGTAAGCTCTATCAAACATCATTTAGATGGTGGCCATAATTGAAATTATTGTTTAACCTTTTATTAATATGGTTCTATCATTCAGTAGATGTATTAACTACGTATTCAATATATAATAAAATTTATGTAAGTAGGTGAAATCCAAAGGACACAAGAAGAAAGGGACTATTTTGTTTGCCGTAGTAATGAGTTCTGAAGCAGTGGAAAAATGTCTAACTATTAGATGAAACAAGCTAACAAAAAGGTTCAAGTATTCATTCAACACAACTCCCAAACTATAACCTCTGCAGCTTTGGTCAACTTTCCATCAGCCAGAATTAGTGCAACCAGCCTTGGAAAACTCTCTGAAAAAACTTCAGTTGGACTATGTTGATCTCTATATTATTCATTTCCCAATGGCTTTAAAGGTAGGCAATTTTCATGATCAAACTTCTTTTTTTCCTTCTGTCAGCATGACCACGATTTACATGGATGGTTGAATTTAGCTTTTTTTTTAAGGAAAATGTAGATATTATTATTACATGGGAGAAGAACCCTGAGCATAACTCCCAATTCCCCCCTTTTAAGAAAAATTTGGATCCCTACTCTCAACTACATACCTAAGAAAGAATATAGTACAGCAAATTTGATATCTCAGTCTCAGAAACTTGAAGAAATAACAGTAGCCACTCCCAAGGCTCCATCCTAGTGACAGCTCCAAGGTCCACCCGCTGGGACGTTCATAAATACCAAGTTTCATGCAGCTGTGCTGTCCAACAAATCTGCTGCACACAGGTGCACAGTGATTTTTCCATAATTTTCTACCATTTTAAGCCAAAACAGATTTGATGTAACTTACTCTGCATGGCTCTTAAACTGGAACTTTCAATGGGAACTTGGGAAACTTTGTTTCTTCTGCTGGTTCTTCTTTCACAAAGGAGTTCTGCCGTGGTACTTGGCCATTAATTACTGTGTTGAATGTAATCTTCTATTTAATGTTATAGATAACTATTCAGGCTAGTTTATATGAGAAAGTATCTTGTACTATGCAATGGGGTATCAAAAGCATTATTACACTTAAGAATTCGACATAGTCCCCAAATCACATCCTTTTCTTCTTCCTTTTCTCTGTACCCCAACAAGTTTGCTAGACTTTTGTCCCAATCTTTCCTATTTTTGGCAATTATGAGTTTGGGGTATGTCAAGTCTTATGCCTATTAACCTTAAAAAGCTTCTCTGGATCTTCCAACATTTAGATTTGTCTTAAAAATAACCTTCCTTACCATGTTTAGTTCACAGAACTGTCCATGGAACATCAGGTGTTCAGGAGGATCAGAAACTCTGATTTTCTCAACTGGGACAAAATTGCAATCTATTTTGGTTGGACAGCAAGCTCTTTTCCAATCAAAGAGACCTTTCCCCAGAGGAAAGTATTGGGACAGACAAGCAAAACATAAATCAGCTTTAGACTCCACTGGGATCTGAAACATGCTATTATTGCCATAAATAACAGTTGTAAGAGATTAGAGAAGTCTGTCTCCTATAGACAGTCTTTAAAACTCCATTATGTAAAAGTCTTTGCAGAAATCAGTTTCTGGAATGTTGGGCCACATATGTCATGGAAGGTTATTACCCTTAAATGTACCTGGGCTTGTGGCCATGGGTGAGAGCATTAATTTGTGACCTCACTAAAACGACTCCCTCTTATTCAGCCAGGTGAAAATCTTATCCCAAAAGATGAAAATGGAAAAGTAATATCTGACTCAGTGGATCTCTGTACCACATGGGAGGTGAGTGCTTGGCGGAGAGAGCACAGGAGGGCGAGAAGGGGAAGTCTTGCTTTCATCTTCCACTGAGAGAAAGAGAAATGCAACGCTGGATCCAGAAATTCAGGAGTGTTACGGGGGTGTGGGGGGTTGCTGAGTGGTAGAGAAGAGCACGTGACTGGAACGTCATGGAAAAAAATTGAGGAGAAGAATTGAGTACTAAAACGACAGGTATCTCTCTCTCTCTCTCTCTCTCTGCAATTGATGAACCTCTCCAGTGCCTTAAGGAAAACACGGAAATTCTTACTCTGGCTTTCACCACTTATCTTCTTCACCTATTTTGTTTTAATTGTTCTCTTCCTGACAATCACTGCTAGCTGGTTTCATTGTCATATGTTGATAGTCGTTGTTTCACAGCTCTACTTTTCATTTATCTTGACACACCAACTGCACATATGTTTCTTCACTATCCCTTTCTCCCCAGGCCATGGAGAAGTGTAAGGACGCAGGACTGGCCAAGTCCATCGGGGTGTCCAACTTTAACCGCAGGCAGCTGGAGATGATCCTCAACAAGCCGGGGCTCAAGTACAAGCCCGTCTGCAACCAGGTGAGCACCCCAGCCTCCTCTCCTTCCTGTTCTTCACTTTTCTTCCTGTATGATAGCCAGGGGTTCATAGGTTCTTCTCAACTTGCCTTTGTCACAAAGAACATTCTAGAGAGCAGAACGCTGTCTAGAAGAACACAAAAGTCCCTAATTGTGCCCCTGCTTGAAAAAGTCTTCATGAAAACAACAGTGATAACTGAATGCTGAGTTTTGTGTGGCATTCAGAACTCAGGTGAAATAGGGACTTAAGGCTATATCACGAAACACAAGCAGAGGATGCATGAGTGAAGATGATTTGCTGGGAACTGCATACAGGTAGGAAGGCCATGAAAGCGGAACGAGCAGTAAATCGGAGAGAGCAAAAACAGGAGAAGATAATGTACTAAGGGTTTAAGTGGAATCCCAGGTCTGAGTGCTTTGTCTGGGTAACTCTGTGTGTATGGGTTCTTTGCAATGCTTATAAATGCATTAAGCATTGACTGGACACCATCAGTCCTCCAGATCAGAGAGAGGAAGTCACCTGTTCATGCAGATACCTGGTGATGGCGATGGTGGCTGAAATCAACACGGAGGGACGTTTAACAGAGCACAGAGCTGACCTGTGACTGGCTACATCTCAGTCAGCTTTCATCCCTGTTTTCTCCCATCACTTCAACTGTCTGTACCCATCTATCTTCTTGGGGGCTCTGTACTCTAACTTAATCTTTAGCAACTTAGAATCAGAAAGTAAAGATCCACAATTAAAATACATAGCGTATAATATCTGTGAATTTGTTATATAAAAATAAAGCATCGTGGTTTTCACATTTAAAAAGCTAGGAACTTAATGTGGTCTTAATATTAGTTTCACCCTAAACTTTTCATATTGGCTGTATTCGTCCATCCTGCAATGATATAAAGAAATACCTAGCTGGGTAATGTATGGAGAAAAAGGTTTATTCGACTCACGGTCCGGAAGGGCACGGGCCTCTGCCAGGCTTCTGAAGAGGGACCTCAGGACTCTTTAAGTCGTGGTGGAATGCAGGGAGACGGCAGGCCAGACACAGACGCAAGAGCAGAGCACGAGGGAGCGGAGACTCCAGGCTCTTTTAAACGACCAACTCTGGCGTGAATTAGGAAAGCTAGAGAAAGACACCAAGACGACCGTGAGGAATCTGCCATCGGGATCCAATCACGTTCTGCTCGGATCCACCTCGAGCACTGGGGATCCCATTTCAACATGAGACTCGAGCAGGGCGATCATCCAAACTATACTGAGGGCAATATTCCAAAAGTTAGAGAAATTTGAATGAATAATAGAGGACATTCCCATGTTACCATCAATCTCCGAATGTTAACATTTGGCCATCTTGTTTCTAGAAAGTCTTCAAAGTAAATTGTAGTGGTTAAAATTCACTCCGTAGATGTCACAAAGCGTGTCGCAAAAATACAGATATTCTCCCAGTTTCAAACTCATTATTTTCTCTAAGAAAATGACTGTTGTATCCCCGTATCACTTAATATCCAGTCCTTACTCAAATTTCCCATAGTTTTTCCAAAATTACTTTTGGAATTAAATTACTTTTATAGCTTTTATAAAATTGCTTTTATAATTATGCAGCTAAATTATATAATACATTCAATATATATATATATGTATATTTACATATATATATTTATAAATTACTTTTATAGCTTTTCTTTTTCAACCAGAATCCAACTGTGGTTTTCTGTTTGTGGTATTTTGATAGTCATTAACTTGTTTCTCCAAGTTGTTAAAAATGTAAACTTCTGTAACTGAAAGGGCAGATTTGAATGCTTTATTACCTCAGGTTTAAATATTTGGGGCCAAAATGAAAAGAAAAAATTCTTAGCATGATGTGTTTCTGAATTGTACCACAGTAGAAAGCATGAAATGACCCACTGTCCCACTTTTAGTGATGCTAGTTTTGATCACTTGGTTAAGTTAGCGGCAGACAGAGCTATTCTTCATAAACGTATGTTTTCCCTTTTGCAAGTACTGGTAAACTGTTGGGTGATAATTGTCCACAGGATGTCACAATCCATAATAAATTTTAATCTAATAGTTGAGTATACATCAATGATATTTTAAATTGTATGTGTTATATTGTGATTTCTTTTTATTGTATTAGTTATTTTTGTGGAGATCTAAAATAATGATTTTTAATTTCAACCACTAGTTTGAATACTTTTTCCTGACATTTTGCTATTTTCAAAAGTTCAAATCAAGATAAGAAACACTTATTTCACTAAGAAGGGTTAAAATTTAACTCTTTTCCTTTAAATGTCAATATCCTGAGAACAAAATTAATATAATAATCATTATCAGTGTTGATAAATATTTTATTCTCTCTCTCTTTCTCTCTCTTTCTCATTAATCACTAATGACTCCTAGATTTTTCCCCTATGATTTATAGTTGATTTTACTCTTTAACATTATTTTTTTTGATGCTCAAATCTACCAAAATCTTATAACAGGCATTTCTATGAAACTAGCTCTTTACAAAAATTTTTTAATTTTAAAGATGTGGGGTACATTTCAGGGTTAGGTATACAAATGTTCATTACAAACCAGCTCTTTTGTCCTTCATACATGCACTCATGAGTCTTTGACCAAATTCTTGCTTTCTGGCACAATTTAATGTCCAAGTGATAAAAAGTCTTACTCTTTCTCAAATCTGGAATTGGTCTCTTTTAGTGAACAAAGGTATTTAGAAACCAAGACCTGGTTGCTAGAGTTGCATGTTCTTGGAAATGGCATTTCCATTATACTTTTCAGAGATATTGAAGGTACAAAATTTATTTTTTATAAAAAAAATACTTGATTTTAATGTTTTCATTTCAAATTTATTGTTACACAGATTTTTTATTTGGTTTCCTTTACTTTTAACCTTTTAAAAATGTTAATGTAACTATTTTCCTATAATCTTCTGCTTTTCTGTCTTGGTCACCTACAGGTAGAATGTCACCCTTATCTCAACCAGAGCAAACTACTGGATTTCTGCAAGTCCAAAGACATTGTTCTGGTGGCCTATAGTGCTCTGGGAAGCCAAAGAGATAAACGATGGTAATATGAACTACAAGGAGTTTACCTAAAACACCACTTTGATGAAAAACTTTTCATCGTATATCACACTTGGTTTTTCCAAAGTTAAGTCTCTACTGGCTCAGGGAGATAGGAGAATGTGCCTTTCTGACCAGGTCCCAGGTGATTGTGATTCCTCTGGTCCGGGACCTCCCTGAGAAGCCCTGGTGTAGGATAGACATCTTCATCTGTGTGGAGCCTCCTAACCAACTGGATATGCAGCCTCAGGACTTGGGCATTTCTGTCTTTCCTTCCAGGGTGGACCCGAACTCCCCAGTCCTCTTGGAGGACCCGGTCCTTTGTGCCGTGGCCAAAAAGCACAAGCGAACTCCAGCCCTGATTGCCCTGCGCTACCAGCTGCAACGTGGGGTTGTGGTCCTGGCCAAGAGCTACAATGAGCAGCGGATCAGACAGAACCTGCAGGTGAGGGCGGGGCTGTGGGCATCAGGGCTCCTCACAGTGTCCTTCACGTGTGCGCTTGTTGGTAAGGCTCTCGAGACGCCCTTGGGCCAAGCCCGTTTCCCTGGCATGCCCCATGCATTTATGCTTTGTGTGCATTCATAAGGGTTGTCTCCTATTCCACAAAAAGAAACCAGCACGGATGGATAGAATGAGGACTAGACTAAAAATCAGATATTTGGGTTTACAGCTAACTTGGCAATTTACTCTGTATCCCTGTGCTGGAGACATACTGTTGTGTGTGTGTGTGTGTGTGTGTGTTTCATTTTCTGAAATGAGACAATCAGATTTGAATTTCTTTCGTTTCTAGATCTTTGCAAATTTTTCCCTATTTCCTTTTGTAATAAGATAGTATAAATTGCATATATTTATTATCTCAGGGGTTTTCTCTCTGCAAATCTCTATTCAAGTTTTTATTTTTATTAGGTTATTTGTCTATTTTGATGTGTGGGAATAAGTATATCAATAAATAGAGTTGTACAACAAACCTCCTCAATATAAAGGTTTAGTATGAAGCCATTTATTTATCTCACACTTCTATGCTTAGAAAATTATGTGGGCTCTACCTAAAGTCAGTAAATTTCTTCTTTTCCAGGGTAGGCTCTCTCATGTCTATGCAGGACAATAAGACAGTTCTGTTCAGGATTTTTTTTTTTATTTTAAAGATGTGGGGTACAATTCAGGGTTAGGTATACAAACGTTGATTATGCAGGTGCCCTTGTTGATGAAGTGTGCCCCTCCCTCCCCTAGCAGTTTCCCTCAACTACCAATCCCACCCCCTCTCCCCTGACGGTTTCCCACTACTGCCAATCCGTTTCTTAAAGTGTTATGATCATTGTTCAAGATCAGCTTATGAGAGAGAGCATATGGTACTCTGTTCTTTGTTTCTGTGATGGGTCGTGGAGTATGTTGGGCTCTAATTCGATCCCAAGTTGCCTGTTCAGGATGTTAAGGGGCCGTTGTCTGGGCCCCTCCTACTCCTCTGTGTGGTTCTTCATCCTCCAGCTCAGGCTTCACCTCGTCCCATGGCGTGATCCCAAGGCACTTGGGAGTTACCCGCAAAGCCTTAGGTACCCTAACCCTACCTGCAAAACCTTTTCGGGCTCAATGTCCACACCCACTGCTTCCGGCAAATTCTTGGTCAATGCCAGTTTCAGGCCAGTCCAGACTCAAAGGATGGGGAAATAGACACCACCTCTTATTGGAAGGAGGTGGAAAAATCATCTGGCAAAACAAGTAAATACACAGACACGTAAAGTAATGGAGTCATGTTGCTAATTAGTCGACCAAAATATATTCTAAATATTATTTTTACATTCAATTGTATTATTTAAACAGCATCTTCCAAATAGCACTTGTGATTTCATTCTTTTGGAGTTATGTTTTATAAATAAAACGTTGTGCTCTTAATGTAGTCAAATTATTTATACTTGCTTCTTGTGGTGGATGAGTGTTCTGTATTTTCCTGTACTGGAAAGGTGACAACATGTTTCCATACGATCTTACAAAATTGTGGATGGTATTGTCTTATACATTTTATTGCTAATCTAAATGGAATTGTTTTTTATTAGTATGTCAAGTAAGGATCCAAATATGTGTATGCAATTTTTAAATGGATATAAAGATAGCCTACTAAAAATTATTGAAAATTTCATATTTGCTCATATATTTTGATGTCCTAAACCTCTATCATATATAGAAAGTCCACAAGTACTTCTCTGGCCTCTGTCCTTCATCAGCAGTTAAGTTACTGATTTTTTTATTCTCTGTTTCTTTTATTTTTTGTATCACTGTTTCAGAGTATTGCAGTGGATTTATGGATTTATTTGAATTTATGTGTTAGTAATTAGTGACTTTTTAAGTTTACAGTCTCACAGATCAAACAAGCCAGAACTCGTGTCCTTTGAATATGACGTCATTAGTATTTGTATAATTCCTGGGTTGAATTAGGTTGAAAACAATTTTTTTCGCTTTATGCCTGCTCATTGAAGATATATATAAATCCAATAATATCCATCAAATTTACCTAATTATTTTATGCTTTTCAAAATTTGCCTCTATATTCTTCTGACTCTTCCAAGTACATGCCCCAGTCATGTGTGTGCGAGGTCTACTTTGTTTCATGTCCAATTTCCCTTGAGATCTTCTCTTTACCTGCAGTGCTGTTCAGTTTCAATATACTATATCTAGATATGGATTTCTGTTTATTTTTCTTTGAACACTCATAAACCACTTCCATAGTTAGAGATGGCCTTTATAGCTTAATGAAACATCAGATATTTTAATTCTTGCCTCCACCCCCTACTGTCTGATATGCATGGATAGTCCCAATTGGCAATTATGCAGTCTAACAATAACAAAAGTTTTCTACTTCTGTGACAGGTTTTTGAATTCCAGTTGACCTCAGAGGACATGAAAGTCCTTGATGGCCTAAACAGTAATTTTCGATATAACATTTTCACTGATTTGTAAGTAGCTTTGACAACTGGGGTGCCTAATTTATTTTCTGAAGGAGAAACAGAAAAAGTGTAAAAATTCACATCAGTATTAGGACAAATTATAAGAGGTACTCAAAGTGGTTACCATCACCATCCAGAAAAAAAAAAAATATATATATATATATATTTATTTATATATTAGGACATCAGCCAGTTTGAGTCAGTGAAAGCCAAATATTTAACTCCTAGCTTTATGGAACTCTCCTCCCAGATGTACTCCAGAACTCTATTCTCTGACATAGCGAGTGGGTCAGGGGTCAGCGTGGGTCAGCCTGTGTCGCTGCTTCTCTGACTCCATTGAACTTTCCAGAACAGCCAATAACATTGCTGAATCTGCACCTTGCATATAGACTTCCCATTTCTACCACAATCTTGTCAATTTAAGCCGTGTATACTAACATTGTAACCTAATTAAATGTATCCAAATTGGGGTTTATAGCTCATTACCCCAAACCTGCTCAATTCCTGATTATAATAATGGCATTTCCACCGACCTTGTAGTCCACGTCAGAAATTCCCATCTCCTCCCCATGGAATAATTCACTAGATCCTGCCAATTCAGTGTTTTTAGTAGTTTCAAAGCTCATTTTTCCATGTCTTTGGATGTAGGCTCAAAACTGAAACATTTTTCTCAAAAAAGGCGGATCTGAGTGGAGTGAATAGGAGAACTTTGTTTTGATTTTCTGCAATATGAAGATCTCAATGCAGAGGGTGAACACATTTTAGAGAAAGTGATTGAAAATGAATGAAGGAGTATAGAGGGAAAAACTTCATATTGGGAGACAATGTATATCTAACAAGAGGTCTAGTGAATACCTTCCTTTTGGTAAAGACATTCCTTCCTGCTCGAAGGTTCTAGAATTTATAGAAAGACCTTTAGTATAATGAGAAAAAAGTAAGAAGTTATGTAACCCTTGCCAGGGGCAACTTTAACAGGCAATAGACTAGATGAAATAATGTATGTAAGAAATAAGTGCAATGGTGCCTCAGAAGTACTCAAAATTAATAGATATCATTGCTAATATTTGTATTAAGTTATGAGAAGATAAAAGATAAAGTGAATCATGAAAAGGAAAGAAAAGCAGCAAGCAGCAAGCACAGTAATCTTACATTGATTAAATATTTAGTAAGCAATCTTTTATTTATCACTCTACATTTTGCATAATCTACATAGGGGTTGTTCTTAGTGTGTGGTAGCTGTTTCAATGTGGGGCCCTAAATCATGTATGACAGTTTACATTTCTGAGCCTAAGAACATATTTTGCATATGGAAGACAAGTAGCAAGTAATAAATTAATTAATAAAAAAGAATAATTGCTATGAGTAACCTAAACACTTACAATTATTGATGAATAATAGCCACATAATTGACCATGTCCTGTTCAAGTAAAGAGGAATGAATCTTGCTTCCATTGAGAATTTGAAACAAAAATGTTCAGACTATCCATTTACTTTGTTGAACAATGTAGAGAAATACATTTGAATATTTGACTTTGTGTGTTTTGGGTGTTAAGTCCCAGGCAAGAGACTATTATATGAACCATTTTTTATTTTGAGAAAGCACATGTTATAAAGTCATGTTCATACAAGTAAGAAAGGCAGACTCTACTAGCAGTCAGGACATAAACTTCTTAACTTCAACCCTAAATATTATAATATTATGCATTATACTTTCTCTTTTCAGATTTCCTGGCCACCCTAATTACCCATTTTCAGATGAATATTAACCTGAGATATTTGCATGACTTTGACCACAAACCCCTGCATATGTATGGTGATGCAGAAGATGTCTTTGATACTGGTGATTGGACACATTACCTCCAGTTAAATCAATTCTGTGTAGAGAACTCACCAATGGGGCTATATCTACAGGTTAGAAAGACAAGACAATAAATTTTTGTCACTTTGGAAAACTTGAACATCTTTCTCTAATGATTATTCATCCACTTCAATCCTTGTGACTTGTATGTTTTATTTTTTTCTGACTCATTAGGGTTGAAACTCTAATTCACCTTGATATTTAGGGGCAGCGGGATGGAAAAAAACAGCAATCATTTTATAGATTATTCTGGGGATGAGTGGGTCAAATATCTATCTATCTATCTATTGATCTATTTATTTATTATTTTTGAGTTGGAGTCTCACTCTATTGCCCATGCTGGAGTACATTGGCACGTTTCACGGCCACCCCAGTGTCGACCTACTGGCTCGGATGATTCTTCCACCTCAGCCTTCCAAGTAGTCAGAGCTACAGGCGCACACTACCACATCCAGCTAATTTTTTTTTTTTAATTGTAGAGACAAGGTTTCGACAAGTTGCTTGGGCCGGTCTCGAACCCCTGGACTCAGGCATTTCTCTCATCTCGGCCTCCCAAAGTGCTGGGATTACAGGCTTGAGTCACTGCGCCCGGCCCGGCTGGGTCAAATATTTAACCCCTAGGAAGGAGCAGAAGACAGGTACTTGTCAGTTAATGCTTCTTTAGCTCATTGAAGAACAACAAACATGTAGCAGAGAGTCTGGAAGGTGAGGCACATGTTGACAGGATGACCAACAATCTCTCCAGAAGCACAAAGAATAGAGCTCCAGAAACCTGGTGTTGGAACATTCCTGGGGGAGTGTTAGTCAGGAAGGTGGGATGCACCTGCCCAGGAAAAAATGATTCGAATTCATATATGGTGGTTACTTAGGAGAAGGGAGTAGACACATCTCTGGTTGGGAAATATTGCCATATTCAGTATTTATAACTTTATCTGGGGCATGAAAGGAAACTTTCCATAATGTTGTATCAAACTCCAGAGTCAGGCCTTGACCTCTTAGGTGTGCCTAGTAACAGCCGTGCCATTGCTCGGCCGTGGTGTGGCAGGGGCTCAGGGACACCACTGACTGATCAAATTCCCCTGAATATCAACTCCAGATTTAGAAAGGGTTTCCATGTTCTAAAAGAAATCATTAATGTTTCCTACTTGGCTCTTTTCAATATTTTATTCACGACGCAAGGCACACTTAGGAATATAATACCCCAAAAAATCTCAAAACCATTAAATATTACTACCAAACTCATATTGAAATGATACATAATATGTCTAATAAGCCATTATCAGCATTTAGAAATATTTTTAAATAATGCATGTAAAATAGCACAATACTTTCAAACTTTGTGAGCTCTTATGAATACCTATCACCATATACAAAGACCTACTCAGAATGAATAAAAACCCTGAATGTAAAACTTTGAACTATAGGAATCCTAAAAGAAAACATAGCAAACCCCCTTATGCAATCAGAGTGGGCAACAAATTCTTGGCCAAGTCCCCAAAAGTGAATGCCAAAAAAGCAAAGACAGACAAATAGGAAACTCATCATACCGAAAAGCTTTAGCACAGCAAAAGAAGCCATCAAAAGAGTGAAGAGACAACTCAGAGAATGGGAAAAAATATTTGGAAATTATGCATCTGACAAAGGGACCACTTCTGCCCTGTTGGTGGGAGTGTAAACTAGTTAAACAGCTATGGAAAACAGCGTGGTGATTCCTAAAAGAACTAAAAACCAATCTTTCAAATGATCCAGCAATCCCTCTCCTGGGTATATACCTAGAGGGATATAAATCATTCTACCAAAAAGATAACCTACACCCGCCTGTGTATTGCTGCACTATTCACGGTAGCAAAAACCTGGAACCAACCTTGCTGCCCATTGAGAGTGGACTGGATTTAAAAAATGTAGTACATATATACCATGAAGTATTACACACCTATAAAGAAGAATAAAATCATGGGCTTAGCAGCAAACTGAATGGAAGTGGAGATCATCAAACTAACTATCACAGTAACAAAGAAGTGAATATCACATGCTCTTACTCAGGAGTGGACCCTGAACATTAGTTACAGTGGCACAAGGCAGGGATCAGCAGTCATTGGGCACTGCTAGGGGAGGGAAGGAAGGAGGGAGGGAAGGAGGGAGAGGACACACAGCAACAACAACAACACAGAGGATACCTGGTCCGCTACCAGGGGTAGTGAGGGCCAGTTAGAAGCCCAGACTTCACTTGCATGCAGCCTGCTTATGGAGTTAACCCTCACTTGTACCCCACATCTCTGTAATTATATATATTAGAATATATGAGCCGGGCTCGGTGGCTCAGCCTGTCATCCCGCGCCTTTGGGAGGCTGAGGTGAGTGGATTGCCTGAGCCCGTGGGTTCGAGACCCACCTGGGCAACTTGGCGAGACCTCATCTCTACAATAAATCAAAAACTCAGCCGGGCGTGGTAGCACGCGCCTGTCATTCTGGCTACTCAGAAGGCTGAGGCGGAAGGATCGCTGGAGCCCAGCAGTTCGAGGCTGCAGTGGCCAGGAGCGGCCACTGCACTCCAGTCTGGGTGACAGAGTGAGACTCCAACTCAAAAAAAAAAAGAATATATGAGTTACATATACAAATATAAGGAGAATATTTATATAAATATATATTTATACATAGGAAAGGCAGAGTGATAACTACTATTGATATTTTGTGGAATAAACTTTAAAACTTTTACTTTAAAAAATCAGACCAATAAGCCTATACAAAAATGTATGTTGACATTCTAAAGACATTTCTATTTTTATCTTATCAATAATTTAAATCCAGTTTATTTATTACAGACTTACTTAAGCCACATGAGCTTCAAAACCATTTGAGCTTATTTACTTAATGTATGAGTACTCCTTTGTTGTTAAGCCAATCTGGTACCATATAGGCACAACACATAACAAAGTACATGTGCACAACACATAACAAAGTACATGTACACGCACATAAACACATCTAAACACACACAACACAAAAACTCACACAAACAAGCCAAGATTCTACAGCTTTTACTTTGCAACTCTTAACTCTAGCAAAGAGATAACAACAGAAACACAATAGTTTATAAAATACAGTTGAATCTAAATTATTTTTGACAAGATTGGGACCTGGCCACATGGTTAAAACTTTGGTTGCCCTGAGAGGTCATGCAATAAAGGCCCAGAACCACAAACTTAGAAAACACAGTTTCCATGGCAGTTTAATTTTAAAACTACTTTTACTTTCTTTTTTCTCCTCAATAACTTTAGGGCTAAATTCTCAATATTTATATTTTAGCCAGAACTGGTTGAGCTGTATAAGAAAAACAAAATCTTCTAGTAGCCTTAAATTAGCAATACCGTAAGCCTTGGGTTTTATCTCACCACTAGTAGAAAGTAACAATAGATTTAAAACAGGCAGAAAAGGAAATAAAGAGCACAGGAGATTCTATATGTAACTCTGTAATCACATGTCAACCTTTGAGCTCTGGATTTTTAAAAAATATTTAACTTGCCCATTGGTTTAAAAATATGTCAAAGAACAGACCATAATATATAACTATAACTAGCTACAGTCCTAGAAAATCTGGCATGCCCTGAAGCTTTTCCATTTACACAAGTACTTGCAAGTAGAGGCACCAACTGCCATGCCTGAAGAAAGTCGTTCACTATGTGTTTCTTTGTTCTTAGGTGATTTGCTTACCACGTTTTTTTCTTTCTTTCTTTAAGGAAGAAAGTGTATGGTGCCCTAGGGTTCAGTATAGTGGATCTGAGAAGCTTAGCTTCTCATTTGTCTACAAAGAGGTATGTTCAGTTTCACGAGCAAATACACAGAAGAGCTAACTGAGATTAATTTGGGAGGAAAAAGGGCAACGGAGAATACCTTTTAGAATGTACCTTCAAATCAAAATAAGAACCTTAAACAACAACTTTCTGAGAAAAGGAAAGACAGCTCAGAATAAACCTAAGAATTCTCAACCAAGTGGGATATCAAGGACCCTGTTAGACTTACCAGAGAAAAAGCTAGAAGTTTGGGGGATGTCAATAGGCCCAGTGTTCAGGTGACTCATCTGGGAGGTCTTGATTCTTCTCTGAAGCCATGTGTTGGGCACCCACTAATTGTTGGTAAAGAACAAAGCCTACTTTGCAAAATATTTAAAGTCTATTCTGAGCCAATAAGAGTTACCACGGCCTGGGATACAGTCTCAAGAGATCCTGAGAAAGTGTGCCTGAGGTGGTTGAGTCACAGTTTGTTTTTATACATTTCAGAGAGACAGCAGTTACAAATAAAGACACAATCAATAACTGGTGGGTGTCCCTTGGTTCCGTCTAAGGAGAGATGTCTTGAAGTGGGACATAAACAGGACATGGATAGAGTCAAGATTTTCTGACTGGCCATTGGTTGAAAGAGTGAAGCTTTGTCTAAAGACTTAAGAGTCAATAGAAAGGAATCCTGAAGCTAAGATAAGGAGGCTGTTGAAGAAAAGATTCTTGTTTTGTAGATGAACTCTCAGTGTCCCATTCTCCACACCATGCATGTCAATCCTACTCTTTCTACGTAGCTCTGTGGTCTTCCCATTGTCAAAGTGATGCAGTTCTTATCCTTGACCTGCCCAGTCCCTCAGCTCCCCACTCTTGACCCCCACCCATAAACCAATGTGGGGTTCCAGTGTACTCCTTTTTGGTTCACATAGAAGGCATTCACTCCAGAGAACTGGTCAAAAAACCAGAAAGCCTCCTGGAAACTAATATCATTGTCAAAATAAAGTGCTAAAGAAATCACAGCAATATATCTTTGCTGAGAAAATATTTGAGGTTCTCTATCAATTATAACCATCTTAAAAGATGCGTGAGTAGAAAATAGCATAAATTCTTTACTTAAGCACATGAGTGTTTTTTATTTAAGATTCAAGGATACTACACTTTTCTTCTCCTTAATTCTCCTTCTTTTCTTCCTTTCTTCTTTTTCCCTTTCCTCTCCTTCTCTTGTAGTAGTGAGCATTC